GAAGTCGAGCAGTTTTTTTGTTTTTTGTTTTTTTACTGGACATACATAACAGCAGCTGCATTGAGCAAAACATTATACATAATATCGGGTATCAGTTCAAACACCGGAAACCACCTGACACGATGGCTTAAAAGTAAGTTAATACTTTGATAAAACTTAAACTGCAAACAATGCAGCATTAATTTTTAATGACACCACCTTCAATTTAATCACTCAAACTGGATAAAATCAACAATGTTGTGACACATAAAAATTTAACGAATCAACATGACTGAACTTCAGTGACATGTAACTGAAAGCGTCACGTCACTTTTATATCTTAAAACATTTAAAAACCCAAACACGGGGATGTGTACAGATAAGTATTTCAGTTAACGCGTTCGTTACTTGTTAACTGAACCATTAGCTTCAGTGCTTGACTACAGACTGTGCTTACAATACATAGAGTCCAGGTGAGTCGGTGAGTTCACAGATAATTGAAGGTGATCTGATCATGTAGCATTTTATGATGTCAGACACTGAATGACAAAGGAAACGGTAAAAGCCTCTCAGGAAACAGTTTGAAAAAAAAAAAAATCATTTCTCGGAAATATGCCTGTACGAAGGAGTGGCCAGCTAAAAAACCAGAGCATTACATGAAACAGAAATGATTTAAGCCTCTGCTGACTCAAGGAATTTAAAGGGGAAAAAAAAAATAGAGGTTTGTCCAGTTACTTTCCCTCCCAAGCGTCTTCCCTCTGCTTGGCTGCCAGGCGCTTTTGTTCTGAAAGATAAATCACACGACAAACAAAAAGTCTTATATTTATATCACTGTCTTTGCCGCATGAAGAGCAGTAAAGAGCTGAAGATGATTGCATATTAATCTTCACATAGAACCATACATGGCATCTGTTCCAACACCAAGTTTAGTATTTGTTCACTGATGGTAGTGCAGCAGTGAGCCTAAACTGAGAACAAAGGAGCTTTTTTTTTAGTGTGCTTTACTTCCTGACTTCCTGGACTGACTGTCATTGGATGGCCAGCGGTTGTTTTCTGGCCCTATATACTTATTTTCCATCTGTGAAAGGAAATGGTTGCTTTACTGATTATAGATTTACTGTAACCTACACAGCAATGGACGGACTTCTTTTGGCACTACATTTGAAACTTTCCACTTTCTTCAGTTAAGTATGAAAACAGCTCCCACTTGTGGTGGTAACTTTGTGATACAACTATTGGGACAGTAATTATTTGTACTTACGTCTCAGTTTAACTGAGCACCCTGTATGACCCTCACACATAAGCTACCGAATCCATAATTAGTTTAGCAACCGCCCACCCAAGATGAGACTTCAGCCCAAAAAGTAAGTGGAGACCTAAAGAAGTACAACGTACCTCTTGCTTCCTGGAGTTTCTTCCTCTCTGCCTCACGCTGCTCCTTTGTGAGGTTGCTCTTTACACCGAGGGCACCGATCACAAGCTTCCGAGCCAGTGCTGCACTCGTCTGAGGTCTCTCTTTAGCAGGCAGGAGGTAGTCTGGGGGCAAGAGGAAAGGAGGATACATATAAATGTGGGAGATACAGAACAGTTTTTAAGCGCTTTAAATGTTTAATTTGTGGTGTAATACAACCTGGATGGCACCAAAATACACTTTACAAACATCACAATAACCCCAAAACCACGTCATCTTAATTAAGCCTGTAACATATGTAACTGGCTCATTCTACATATTTCCATTCATTTCTTCTTCTGCTGTCATTTTCTTTAGCTGACTGGAAGAGTACGGATCATCTCAAAGAGAGAAACTGGACCACCAATTGGTATTTCCGTGGAGAAACTGAGGAGTAAAGCAGGCAAACCAGGCATAAGTATAAACGCTGGCAACAACATCAGCTATTTGTGTAGGCTGCACCATAGGTGAGATTCAATTCAAAGTAGAAATTCAGTTTCAGTTTGAGGAAGCGACAGACACAAACCAAACCCACAGTCAAGAATGCAGAGGATCTTGAAAGACTAAATGGTAGTGTACTGGAGAATTGGATATGAAGCTAAAGGGTTTTCTCAACAAATATGGATTTGCTTTATTATTATACAAACACAAAATTATGAAAAATGACAAACACAGATATGTGCAATCGCACCTGAGCAGCTACGGGCTTTGGCCTTTGTTGCAGAGGAAGATTTGGAAAGTGGTCGCAACTTCATCAGTGGATTCTTGGATCTCAGAGCTTCACGAGCTTAAAAGGGAAAATGAACAAAATGTAATAGTCGGTGAGTTTAATATCTCCTTACAACTGAAAAATGTGTTTTTCTAACCTGAAGTCAGAAAAACGATGGCCCAAGTAACAGAGACACAATCTCAAAAAGCTCAGGAGCAAACAGCATTAAGATTGTTGGACAGGATTTTCTTTACTAAAACAATTCTACTTACAACATCGTAGCAAGATGATGAGTCATAGCAATGACACTTAATGAACAGCATAATGAACTGTAATTGCCTTAAATGTGAGGCAGAGCTTTACTTACCTGCTATGGGGCTTGAGAAAAGGCCGAGGGCATGTGTGTCATCAATCCATTTAATGTCAAATCCTCTCTTTCTGAAAAGACAGTCAGAAATCACACAAGGTAGTAAGAATATTTCACAACATGCCCTCAGAGCATTAGCTCTAAAAGGAAGACAGTGCTCCCTAAAGATGTAAAAATCATATACTTGTGCTCTTTCATAGATTTCACAACTTTTTTTGTCTTAAAGTAAACCTATTATCCTTTCCTTATTTTCTAACATATACTGTTACAATGGTACTCATCCAAATGCTCTATTAAAAAAGTTTCTTCTACTTCATCTGCATGATGTCAAGAACAGCCTGGTGGAACAGTGATCTTGGAGTGAGCACAGAAGCCCCTCTCACCTGCAGTCCCACCCAATTAGAAGAACACAGCTAGCACCAAGACAAAAAAAAAGAGCTGCAGCAGCTGGTTTCAGACAATGCTGAACTCAGGGCTGCACCAAGGCTCAGTATACGATAAAAAAAAGGATTATTTCAAACTGTGAATCATGCAAATAGATGCAGAGGTTTACTGACATCTCTGCAAATATAAAAGGACATACAGTATATAAGGCAAAAACAAAGTTTGTACAATTCTAACATGGTTAGAGACTTACTGGTAGCACTGAAACAGCTTAAGAAGGTCTTCTGTTTTGAACTCTGTAGGGAAATCGTAGATCTCTACAATATGAGATAGTTCATCCTCTGTGAGGTCAATGTCATCATCATCATCATCATCATAACTGGCTCTGTCCATGTTGTAGTAATCAAACCTAGGCTCTTGGATTGACTCCTTCTTTTTTCCTTCCTTCAAAGCCAGCTGTGCATTCAAGGCAGGCAGGAGAGAAGACAATGATGAGAAGAGAAAAAGATCTGTTTTGCATCATATTAAATAGGATTTTTTAGGTTAATTATCAGCAATGTGTATGTGAATCTGGGTGGACATTATTCTGCTTGTCACTTTTAAAAACACACTTTTTTTCGAAGGCTTTTTAGGAGTAGTACCAGAGTCTGCTTGTAGTCAGTTTTAGTCAGCTGTTGGTCACTCTTAATCTTTTATATTTTGTTAATTTTATTCATTGTATATTTTATTGTCTATTTTACTCATGTTTTAATATTTAATATACTGATTTTTTTTATCTTCTTTTTCCATTTATTTATTTTATTGGTATTTATATTTATTTCTTTGTCTGCTTAATGTATGGTTTTTAACTGTTATCTCTGTTTTATTATTGGAAAGCACTTTGGTCAACTTTGTTGTTTTTAAAGTGCTGTATAAATAAAGTTGGATTGGACTGTCTTGGGTTTTGATTATCAAAACCTAAATCAAGCTCTCACCTCTTCAAGCAGATGTGGATCCAGACAGTCTCCATCATCGTTGAACAAGGTGTCCCAGCTCTCCTCTTCCTGCTCTGCAGTATCGCCTGCCTCCACTTTGGCGGAAGACTCCCCATTAGCCTCAGCATCTAAACCCTGTAATCGGTCCTCCTTCACATCTGGCTTAACGTCGTTGTTTTGCGCTTCACCTCCATCTCCCCCAGCGGGCGATGGTTTATTCGCTCCTCCAGCTTTGTCCTTCTTGTTCTTGGCGTTCTTTCGTGCTTTGTCTGTGTAGCGAGGCCTGGTTTTTGGTTTAACTTCTCCCTGAGTCGGAGCTTTCTCTTTCGAGGCATGAAGTCGTTGTTTGGGGACGTACAGAGGCTGACTTGGCCTCTTTGATTGAGAGGGAGGTGTAGGTGTTGGTTGAGTTGGACCACAGTCTTCTTTAAGCTGCACATCCTCCATGGTTAAATGATGTTAAAGTATCTGGATCACGGAGGAACGAGAACATGAACATTGTCAGACCTTCGCAGATTTTCAAAACACTCTAAATTTACTTTAAAGACTTTATTAAGGAATGAAGCAGCCAGGTACGCGGCAAACTGTTCTAAATAAACAGGATTTGAATAACTAGCTTCAGTTAGCTAACTAAACTTCCTCCCGTGTAGCTTGTAAAGATATTTTTAAATGAAGAAATAAATATAAAATAAATAGCGGCTAATGTTACATTCATTCATGTTCATTTATTTTCACTCAGAATATTTAATCTGTAATTAAATCAAATAAATTTACTCTGTCGGCTTACCCGTTAATGATTTGTTTAACAACAGACTTTCGTCGCACACTTGACGCAAGCAAATCCTAGCGCAAAGCGTAGTGGGAAATTGTGTTCTTCTACAGCACTGCCGCTCCGAAATCCGGAATAACTGCCAGGTTATTAGTTCCTTTTTCCAACGAATTTTCTTTTCCTTTGTAGTTCAACGAGTTTCCCCAAAAGAAATGGTAAATATACTATCTACCGAATGCATCTTTTCTGTGCCATCGTTTAACATAAACTACAAACAAACCAAACCCTTGGGTGCAAGAGACACGTGCACAGAAATTCAGCTCAGCCATTGGTCACCATCTTCATCGGTCAGATAGTTCTTCGCTGATTGGACAGTATTCTCCGCGTTACACAAGGTGTTTCGTAAATTTGTAATTTATGAAACTTATTTGTGTAATAGAGGCGTTGACAAGCTCGCTTCACAACTATAAACACATCATCTTCACTGCAGGAGACGCATTTTCTCCTCCACACCTTGATACGGTAAGACGGTATTGCCATAATGAAGGGAATGAATTCTTGCTCACGCCTCTGCTTTGCACAAAATGGGGAAAAGGCTTCATCCATGTTTTTTATTAAAATCAGTGAATTGCATGTCATTACGCTGGAGGAAAAACAAGTCAGAAATACAGAAAATGTATTTGCTGGAGAGCATTAATAACATATTAGTAGTTTTTGCGTTTTGTGTTTTTTAACGTCTTGAAATTTTATAGCTTTCTTAAAGGATTTAAAGGCTTTTGGTTGGTAGATTTAGACAGAAACACTCCACGTTTAAAACAATGTCTGGTGGTTATGTTTTTGTTTTTCTTCTTTCTTTTAACGTACTTATTTGATCGCTTTCGATCAATTCGGATAATTCTATTTTCATATTTAGTTTCAATTGTTAAGAAATGTTGTTTTGTTTTGTATTATAATTCTCAGTTTCAGATGTTTCTTGCAAGTTTTGTTCAAAACAAGATATCTTCCTGACTTCCGTGTCTCGCCAGGTTGGAATAATGTGGGGTTCGGGTCTGCTGCTCCTACTAGTGACACTCTGGCATCACTCCCATGCCCAAAACCTGAATCCCATGCTTCAGGTTGTTACACAGACCATGCTTCCCCCTGACAATCTGCACAATCCCACACAACTCAACTATGGGATGGCTGTGACAGATGTGGATGGTGATGGTGACCTGGAAGTGGTGGTGGCAGGGTAAGTGTGAGTGTTAGTGTATTACCATGTGTGAGGATTTTTATGCAGAAATTTGTGATAAAAAAAATAAATCAAAATCACGTTTTCTCTCAGGTACAACGGGCCCAACCTGGTGCTGAAGTATGACAGGACTCAGAAAAAGCTGGTAAACATTGCTGTTGATGACAGTAACTCTCCATACTATGCTCTGAGAGACCAGGCAGGAAATGCTATTGGAGTTGCTGCCTGCGATGTGGATGGAGATGGACGAGAAGAAATCTATTTTCTTAATACAAACAATGCCTACTCTGGTAAATATGATATTGCAAAGTCATCCTGAAATTAAAGTGTCATCAAAGTAATTTGAGGGAACCAAATAATTTTTCTTTCTCTGTCAAGGACGAGCAACATACACTGACAAGCTCTTCAAGTTTCGTAATGGCCGCTTTGAAGATCTGCTCAACGATGAGCTGAATGTACGTCGTGGTGTTGCTAATCGGATGGCGGGACGTTCAGTCGCATGTGTTGATAGAAAGGTGAGTGAACCCACCTATTTCTTCTATCTCATTGCATTTGAGTACATTATACGTTATTCTAAGTTACCGATGTTTCTGTGCAGGGAACAGGCCGTTACTCAGTCTACGTGGCGAACTACGCCAGTGGAAATGTTGGCCCCCACGCTCTCTTAGAAATGGACGAGGCTGCCAGTGATGTGAGCAAGGGCATCATCGCGCTGTCTGACGTAGCTGCTGAGGCCGGAGTCAACAGGTACACAGGTGAGATGTCACAGTGTTTACCTGAAACATGAGATTTTTTTTTTTGATTTTTTTTTTTTGAAGTTGTCAAAAACAACTGAAAGCTTCACTGTTGGCTCGTTGGTCAGGTGGTCGCGGTGTGGTCGTTGGACCAATCCTGAGCGAGTCGAGGTCTGATGTGTTCTGTGACAATGAAAATGGACCCAACTTCCTGTTCAAGAATAATGGAAATGGGGCTTTTGTTGACATGGCAACACAGGCAGGTGAGAATGAAGTGGTAAGGGAACATGAAGCCTAACTCAGTAGTACTTTCTGCAGTCTGTCCTTCAACTTATGGTTTCATATCAGGTATTCTTTGTCTCATCTCACTCTTCCATTATTTGGTTTCTAATTTTAAATTTATTTACTTTTTTATTATTATATTATTATTATATATTATATTATGCATTTACCCTGTGAATGCCAGCTAGGAGGAACCTTTGTTTCGCTTTTCTGAACTGAATGGCTTGTGTCATATTTCAGGCCAGCATATAGAACAAAATGCCTGAGTGTGCATCAGAAGTTAGTGGGGGTGGTCTCTGTTTATGCAGCAACCTTTGGAAAAAACCAGAAATTATAATAATAATAATAATAATAATGGATTGCATTTATTTAGCGCTTTTCGGGGCCCTCAAAGCGCTTTACAATTCCACTATTCATTCACTCTCACATTCACACACTGGTGGAGGCAAGCTACAGTTGTAGCCACAGCTGCCCTGGGGCAGACTGACAGAAGCGAGGCTGCCATATTGCGCCATCGGCCCCTCTGACCATTACCAGTAGGCAGCAGGTGAAGTGTCTTGCCCAAGGACACAACGACCGAGACTGTCCAAGCCGGGGCTCGAACCGGCAACCTTCCGGTTACAAGACGAACTGCCAACCACAATCGATATAGTCATCAAACTACATCTTTATTGATATGATGTGATTTATATATGATTTGTAGAGTTACCAAGAGATTAGAAATATTTGGAGGCTTTTATGTTTGACTGTTTATTTATCCATCAATCCTCTACTGCTTATCTGGGTTTGGGTCATAGGGGTAGCAGTCTAAGTAGAGAAGCCCAGATTTCCACCTGGCCACTTCTACCAGGTATGTAGAAATTTAGATTGACTTGTAAATTGACAGCTTCGCTTTTACACTCAGCTCTCTCCTTACCACAACAGGTTGTAGCAGGTGATGCCCTGTTTGATTTTAATCAGTCTATTTGCTTAGCTTACTATAACATTTGCTGGCTGTCTGGTAGGCTCATAAGGATAACACCTCATGAAGTAACACAGCCTGTCATGTGAATATTAATCAAACACAAGTGAAAATGCTAACTGGTGAGTTTAAGACATTCAGGTATGTGGAGCGTCTTACTGTTATTGAGCCAGGCTGATTTATCCCCCCAGAATCCAGTCCTTATGCTAAACTAATCTAGCAGTCTCCTGGATGTAGCACTAAATATAAGAGACATATGAAGGTCCTCTGATCACTTTTACTTAGTTTTTTTTATTGTACAAAATTGGATTAGTTGCTTTTAACACTGTGCCCATGCAAACAGGTGTGGAGGACCAATACCAGCATGGCAGAGGAGTAGCACTGGCTGACTTCAATGGAGATGGAAAGACAGACATTGTTTATGGCAACTGGAACGGCCCACACAGACTTTTCCTGCAGCGCAGCGATTCCAGTTTCCAGGTAAGAGAGGAGTGACAAAATTGGCAAAAACAAAAGGTTTTAATAAAGTGTATCTTGAGAGAAGTACAATTTTCTTTGCAGAATATTGCTACTGGAAGATTTGCTGAAGCCTCACCTATTCGCACAGTCATTGCTGCTGACTTTGATAATGACAAGGAGTTGGAGGTGTTCTTTAACAATATTGCCTACAGAGGAAATGCTCCCAATAGGCTGTTCAGGTTAGATTTCACGTATTTGTTAAATTTCCAATGAAATGTCTTTGTTAATTAAAAAATAACTGTTACTAGATTGATTTATTTTTTTGGCTGTTTCCTTTTTTGCAGGGTCTCAAGGAGGACTAATGCAGACCCTTTGATCCAGGAACTTAATGTGGGAGATGCTGAAGAGCCACAAGGGAGAGGAACAGGTCTGTAAACTCTTAATATCAGAGCACATTTTGTGCTGTTTTTCCTATGCATTTAACCGGCACGGTACATCTTAATGGATATCCGTTTAAAAATCTAACATATATTAAGTTGCCAATTCTTTTAGATGTGTAGTCCCAGGCAATACAGACACAAAATAGTGATATACAGATGTTTTTTTTCTAAAATATTACAATCAATTGAGAATGATTTTTATGGCTTTCTTGAAAAGTGACTCTATTGAAGTGTTGTTTCACCTGGTAACAAAACAATAATCAATATGTGAAAATATTAGAGAACATCCTAGCCGGTTAAAATATATTGAGGTTGCCTGAACTGCCTCTGTGTTTGGATGAGCCTCAGAAATATAACTGTCAGGGAGACTCCCCATTGACATTGATGTGTAGGTCAGTTCAGTGAAAGCACTCTGTGTGTTCTGGACAGGTGGTACTGTGACTGACTTGGATGGGGATGGACAGCTGGACCTGCTGTTGGCACACGGGGAGAGCGCCCAGCAGCCAATCTCTGTCTTTAAGGTCACGCAGGTGGGTGTGCGTGTGTGTATTTGTCGGGTGGAGTTTGTTTGTTTTTCTTTTTACTAACAGCCTAATGATATACCTACTAACTGGTCTTCTTATTATTAGTTAGCGAATAATAATCCATGAACATCCTTGTTGCTAGGGATCATCCAATAACTGGCTGCGGGTCATTCCTCGCACCCAGTTTGGTTCTTTCGCCCGGGGTGCCAAGGTGACAGTCTTCACCAGTCAGAGTGGAGCTCACACGCGCATCATTGATGGAGGCTCTGGATATCTATGTGAGATGGAGCCAGTCGCCCACTTTGGTTTAGGTGATTTCCTTTTAAATGTTGTAGACACTGAAAAAACAGCAGACACCTCACAAGTAAACACTAGAGCAGATTGTTGGCCAAACAGCTTTTTTTTGTGATCGTGCATCTATCCTGTCAAACACTAGAACTCAGTATGTGTGCCTTTGTCATTGGTGTTTTTAGACATCTCAGCTAAACAATAGTATCCCTGATATTTTTTTACTTTAAACCAGATACTGGTGTTATAACTAATGGCTGGTAAAAGTTTACAAATTTTGGGATATAAGCTAATGTCCTTTCTTGCTAAAATTAAGATGAGATGCTCTCACATCAGTCTGTAAAACATAGTTTGATAGTCAGGAGGCAGGTAGCATCCCAGCAGATATTTTTAAATCGAATCCCAAAATACAAATTTGTACTTGTAAAATGTAACGTAGTATTGTGTCTTGTACTCATGACTCCCAGGAAATGATGAGGTGAAGGTGCTCGAGGTCTCCTGGCCAGACAGCACTAGTTTTACTCGAGCTCTTCAGGCTGGTGAAATGAACTCTGTGTTGGAAGTCACCTATCCCAAAGAAGGGGAAACCACTGAGCTTGCCAATGACACGCAGGTACACAGCCCGAATTCCCAGCATGAATTATGAACACGCCTTTTTTTCTGTTAGTGGAGCAGTGAATTGAACAACACCAAAGCCTTAATCTCTCTCTCTCTCTGGTTAGTTTAATTATAAGATATTTTACTCCTACCTTTCAAAAAATAAAAGTAAATTGTTTTTAAAACGTCTCAGAATCAGCTTATTTGGTTTGGATAAAAACCTTTTCCTCTATTTTTTTCTTTTCTTTTTAGTGTGGTAACGGCTTTACTGTCAGGAATGGACGCTGTGCAGGTGAGCAAGTCTTAAAGATTCATAAAATAATCCAAAACCAGATATTATTTTATTTTTAATTGAATGTTTATTTTTCTACAGGTCTTTAAAGAGAATCACATGAAATGCAATAAAGGATTTTTGTGGTTTACAATAATGTTACAGAAAAAAAATGTCTTTTGCTTTGGTTTTTAAAAGGGAGAGTTGGTTGTTTTTCTTTACTCTGTGAGCAGATTTATTTCATTTTCCTTTTTTTTTAAGATTTCTTTTCTCTTTTATGGCTTTAAATGAAGTGAATAAACTTGTTCCTATCAATACACCGGCTCTTTCAAATTATTTCATAGCTCAAAAGTCAGTCTTAACTGTTCTAGTACTCACATTTTAATCCTCCAGTCTCAGCATTACCCCTGCTACCCTGAGAGTAACAAATGCAAGGAAGTGTTTCCTGCGTGACTTAAGAGATGCTGAATTTGCACTAAAAACGTGCTGAAACGGAACAAGACACACGAACTGTGGCTGACACAGAGTAACTGAAAGTATTTAGTGCAAACCACAAAGGTTACCCTGAGTTCCCCAATTTTCCCCACTTGTACCTGTCCTCGTCTTCACACGTGGATGACCAAGTCTTCATTTTTAGTCATTCTGTTTGTTTAGTATTAATCTGATGTCTGCTTGTCTGTCTCGTCCTCCCTCACTGTTACTCTCCTCTGTTCTCTCCACCCATGCAGCATTGGCTCCATTTTATGATGGTGTTCGATCTTCGGTCTCCATGTTTGAAGCCTCCTGGTTTAAGACAGTTTTATTACAGTGTGTTTTATTCCTGTCTGCAGTATCAGAAATGAAGTGAGACTAGTCTTCAGGGAAAAGACAACCTCTATCCAGCGCTGGTCACCTGGATCTAACACCTGCTAGAACAAATTACTGTGACATGCATGGAGCATGTCCATCCTGAACTTTGCTTGTTTGTTTTGATGAGCTGGCTGCATGTGGAAGCTGTAGTGCCAAATAACCAGTTAGTGCATGCAGGCATGAGGAATTTGTAACAAAATAAGCAATACGCTTAAATTGTTAAGTAATTTTTTAAGGCAGGTTTTTTTTGTTACCTCTGTGCTACTTAGGTATCGGTGACTGCTAGCAGTGTCCACAATACCACGGCCCTGAGTGGACATTATCAATTTGTTAATTTCTTTACCACTTTGTCAGCTTTGTCTGCTGTGAAGACAAAATGCCTTTAGAAAAAAAGGGCTGCATAAAATTATACATCTTTGGTTTTTTTGGAAATGGTGTCCGTCTCCAGTAAATTTAAGATTTAATGATGTTTAATATTGTTGTCTTTTACACTGATTTACGGATCATGTTACTGTCAAGCTAAAGAATTAAACCAAATATTTTGGTAATAAACTCTAAGCTTACTGACATGTCAAACAAAGTGTACACAACATTGCCTTTGAGTTTAAGTGACAAATCCAGCAGCTACATTATCACTGATTTGGGCTGTTTGCTTACTGTATCTTTAATGCATTATTGATAACTCAGTGAGAGCTTTGACACTGAAACAAAGCACTTGGATTTTAGACTAACAATTTGATCAAGTACTGAAAACTGTGGAGCTCAGAGGAACTACACGACCAGTATGTCATCCGTAGGCGTTGCTATGAGCAATCCTCTTCACCTTCCATGCTGAGAGTATTAATGCAGAAATGTTAACCAGTGCTGCTTTTGATATTTGCAAACTTCCATTTAGCAGCTGCTCTTCTATATTCCTGCTTAGATAATCTGTGTCCTTCCTTCCATCACATTTGATTTGATGCTGAGGATGGTAGTGTTGTCTGAATGGGGCAGGTTCAACTAGAAAGATTTTTATACCCAATCTAAATGATGACACTCTAAGGCAGAGAGAAAAATTGGCAACAACAGATAAAGGGAGGGAAATATGGATGCCTGGGAGGTATTTATAGCGTTGCACTTGCTTGTTTACATGAAACTTGGTTTCTGGTTTATGTCCAACAAGCAGCTCAGATTGAGTACTGAGCCTTTTCTTATGTTTGTAATCATTTAAAATGCTTAATATGAGTAACACTGATTTCATATATTTGTATAATACAAGAACAATGAGCTCGATGGGGCTGTGATGAAACTGTTTATTTGACGCCAGTCATTTCTACCATGTGTATTAAAACAATAAGCAGTATGAAAACTTGTTCTTGCACAAAATGTCACCAAAATAAAAGAAACATTCACATTTGTGAGCCAGTTTGTTTTTTGGCAGTTATTTTTCTTTGGAAGTCTGTTCATAAAGCAGGGAAGGGTTGGTGTATTTTCATAAACACTTACAGGTATAATTTAGGAAGACATTTCTGACCCATCCCTTCTTTACTTACTGCTGCGCTTCACGCACAACGAGTCTTTGCATAATCTAAATTTAGGAAGAGTTGCTCTCGCTCAATGAAACCATGAGGTTAGTACTTGGATTTGTGGCTATGACTTTAAAAAAGGAAATACAAGCTTCATCATAAATATGGAGGATCTGCTACATTATGGATGACTTAAATGGCATTCATCTGCTGCCAGACAGCATGATTTAGAGCCGATTTGGAAGAGGTGCTGAATTTGGGGTCTAGTCTTGTGTTTGGTCCAGTGTTTGGGGTGCAGCCCAGGTTGATCTGGCCTACGTGGTACAATGACAGCAGATGAGGCACTTCGTCCCTTTTATCTTGAAATCAGACAGGAAGGAGAGAAATGGTGGGATCACACAAAGCATCACTAGCTGCATCTTTTCATCCTTTTCATTGAGACATTACATCTTAGCAAAAGTGCATCAGCACCTGCACATTTCTTTCGTAATAAACCACTAAAGTGCGTGTTTCAAGTGTCTACTCTGAACAAGTTAGGGACATGATGGGGAAAAAAACTGGTGAATACTTTGTGTGAGCGTAGCTGAGGGGGTGGTTGGTGTTGGAAGAGGAGTCGTATTACATCCTAGGTTTTCCTTCATGGTTGTGAGTGATCAGGTGGACGCAGGTTTAGGAAGCATCCAGTCATCGAGCAGTGCTGCCGGACACAGAGCTGCTCCCTGAGCTGGAGCCACTGGAGCCCCGATCTTCATAGATGGAGATCTCTATCTGTTAAAAGTTGTTAAGGAACAAAAATGATCTGTGGTTTATAATAAATTGCACAAATATTTTACAGAAATGTGGTTTTGTTTTGCTTTTTTTTGCAATACACCCAAAATTCAGAATAAGGATACAACACGCATTCCCCTTTCTATGGGATCTGTGATAAGGAGACCTCTGGGAGCATAAATCTTCTCATTCTGCTCCTGAATGTACTTGGCAATCTTCTTCAGCACCTGACACACAGACGGAAGAGGAAAAATGAGAAGCAATATAAAATCCAAACTACATGTTAATTTGTCCCAGAACATCAAAATGTATTGGATTCTGACCTTCTCATAACGTGTCTCCATGCAGAGGAAAATGAGATATGCTGTAGCGCAGGCCAGACACCCTTCCAAGTAGGACTGTCCTCCAATCTTTTCCGCCTCTGCATAATAGTTATTCAGCGTCTTCACAGTGTCCTCAAACAGTGTTCGCTCGATCTGGAGACAGACAAAAGAGCAGAAATGGGGTCAGTGAGTAGCAACAGCAAATACTATGTTTAATAAAGTAACTTACTGAGCTGGAGAAGGGAAAAAATATTGCATGATTTTAATTTCCCCTTTGAAGTCACTTCCATGGAAGACGCTGCGAGTGTTTTATTGCCCATGCACTTGCGAGATTTCAGCACAAACCTCAAACATCAGCTAACGTGTGAAACTGACCTTCATTTCAAGAATCGTCAGTGCTGATGAGACCTGGGACTCCAGCTATGACCCAGTGACCAGCTGTGTTTATTCCTCCACATTTACAACAATACCTATGAAGCTTTAAGACGAGACCCCACAAGCAACTATGAAAAGAAAGTCATCAGTTGCCTACAACAACTTGAAATGGATGAAGCCACTGACTACACTTCCTGTACCCAGGAAATGCTATACCCTGTATATATGGACTTCCAAAGATCCACAAAGGAGTCCCAAGCAGTATCAACTCAGCCACCTACAAAATTTCCAAGCACCTTGCAACCATCCTAGCTCCCTTGTGGGGAACACACATCATCACATCTAAACTCTGAAATCAAAACCCAAGAAGTAGAAGCCTTCACTGTTCACATCGACTCAGTGGATAGAATGATAGTTTACCAGGAAAGATACAAAGTATAACAGTTTGTCATTTCTGGAAGCCTACACACACAGACCAGTACCTACTCTTTGACTCCCACCACCCTCTGGAACACAAACTTGGAGTAATCAGGACCCTACAACACAGAAACTGTTCCCTTTAAGCCAGAAGGAAAAGAAAGGGAACACACACATGTAAATAAAGCTCTTAAAACATGTGGATTTCCCAATTGAGCTTTCATCAAATCAGCAAGGATGCACAGAAAATAAGGTCAGACACCAACTAGGGAGAATCAGAAGGACAAACGTCATATCTTATGTAGCCAGTTTATCAAAGAAACTCAGGAGAGTCTTCTCCAAGCAGGACATCCCAGTGTAGTCCAGACACAGCCACACACATTTAGACAAAAGCTGGTTGATCCCAAGGAAAAAACCTCCAAACACAAACTAAACAATGTAGTGTATGCAGTACAGTGCAGCGAGGAGGGCTCCATTGGAGAAACCAAGCAGCCACTCCGTAAACACTTGGCACAACATAAAAGAGCCACCTTGACAGGACAAGACTCAGCTGTACATCTGCATCTAAAGGACAAAGGTCACTCGTCTTGAAAGACGAGTCTAAGAGGCCATCTATGTCCACTCTGAACAGAGGGTGTGGCTTACAACACCAACTGTCTGCCACCTACAGTGCAGTTTTGAAATCCCTGCACAGATGCCTTAACGCCCACTCACATCATGCGTCAGTTGATCTCAATAGGTCATATAATAGGGTGAGGCAAGGTCTCACAATGGTTTCACCCACACCTCTGGTTATAATGACCCACACCCTTTTTCCCACCTTGGCTCATGTGATGAGGCACATAATCAATAGTGGGTCAGCAACCCTCTTAATGGACGACTTACACCTCATACTTTTTACTCCACAGTGATAAAAGCTAGCGAGGTAATGACTGACCAAATCACAGAGCTTTGTGCGTATATCATTCTACACAGCATAACAATTTTATCTAGCAATCAGGAATTTTGTTTGCTTTATCTACATGTGAAAGAACCGATCTGAGTCATGAAACCCTTATATTGCTACATTAAAAATCAATAAAATAAAGGGAATTAAGTGTCTGATGCTGAAAGATTCACTTTTTGTCCACCCCAAATGAACTCTACACACATATGATATGATGACATAAGGCTTTATTCTATACGTGTTAAAATGATGCCAAAAATAGGGAACATGATCCTCAATAAATAACATGTTTAAAAAGAAGTGGGAAGAAGCATTCAAATACGCTGAAACCAGTGAACAACAGAGAATGTGGAGTGATTTGTGTGTTTTGCTTTACTCGGTACTGAAATGAAACTTTGTTACTGTATATGCGTTTATATTTATTATATTATTTATATTATTTTGCATCTATTATCAAGCATATGAATGTCATGATAATGCCTTTTAACAGACTTTTTCTTTTCAGACCATGATGCTAACAAAGATCTAAATGCTTGTATGATCTGCACCTATTAAAACACAATATAAAACCTAGAATTAAATCACATTACACTGTAACTCCTCCAGTTTCCTTACCCTGCTCTCCAACTCAGAGGGGAACTTGGTCTGAAACTTGCAGGTGGTTCCTTCACTGTAGTCTCTCTGAATGAATACTTTGTTGGCCAGAGATGCACTGTGCCTCAACTCCTGCAGGTTATGAAACTGTGGGAATCAAATAACACAGAGAGAGAGAGTAATACAGTAAGGGTTAATATAGTATCTCTTTAATGAGTCCCAAAAGAGAGCTATGTATCCCTCTATGTGCATCCCTGAGAACCTGTTCACCTGTAATGTGTACAAACAGCAGCTGATTTAGAGGAACAGGGTGATGGAGTAGATGTGATCGATCACTCGTTGGCTCAGTGTCTGCACGCTTTTCTGCCTTGTTGACTGCTGGAGCAAAGCCCAGCATCAGACATACGATCTTTTACACACACACACACTTTCTCTTGGTCTTTCAGGAAAGCAGGGAGACGGGACAACATTTCACTACGGCTAAACACGGATCGATTACACGGAACAAGCTGAAGCAGACTTTTAGAGGCCAAACAAGTATTACATACAAGCTTGTTTATGCTTGATATAATCAGTTTTGTGCGTCACCATTATTTTTGGTTACATGAAAGCACAGATGGAGGAAAAGGGAGTCAGGCAAAGCACGGAGGAAGGTCGGGGTGGAGTGGCTTCTGTCCATGGTGCTGAACGGCTGTCCTCCGTGTGTGTGTGAGTGGGTATGTGTGTGTAGTCAAACACAGTTGCTTGTCACCGGATTAACGTGGCTTCTCAATACACAAAAACAGATCTGCTTTCACCAAAACAGCTTAACATGGCAGGGACGGAGGGGGCTGCACTGATCCTTTTTTCTTATAGCTCAGCTGACTTTCAAAAATGCCTCCCTCCCTTTTTTTTTCTCTTTAAACAAAATACTAGAACGCGTTTATGTGGTTAAAAAAAAAAAAAAGACAGAAATGAAAACGACCAAATCCTCTGGCGAAACTGGCGTGATAATGTAGGACACAGTGGTCACTCCAGATACAAGTGATCCGCACAGGTTAACCGTGTGCAGCCTCCATGCCCTCAACGTCCGTGTTAACTGGAGCCGCGCCTGTTTCGTTTAAACCTTCATGTCACTGTTCGTGCCGGTAACCGGACCCGAGCTGGAAATTAAACCGAGCGAGTGTCTTACCTCTGTCGCCATGTTGCACCGTGCATCCGTGGCTGTAGGGACGAGTCCCTTCACGCTCTGAAACCGCTTAGTGGGACACGGAAGGGGGGAGGGTGGGGAGAGGAGGAGAGGCTTGTAATCCTGAGGGGGCGGGGCTTAATGTAGTAGAGTGTTCGGCTTTTTCTTCAGTCTCAACTTGACTTTGCAGGACGTCGGGGTGGGGGAGACGACCTCCAAACCTGAAAAATGCAGCCAGAGCGGAGAATGTGGAAGTGTCAAAAACTGCAGTTCCTCTGCTGGCCACTTGAGGCGGTCTCTGAAAGGGAGTCAGCTAGTTATCTGCCATGCTGCACATTTTGGTATCGATCAGATATGAACTAAATATTGCCGATACTAATACCGATACTGATATGTTTAACCTATAAAGGCAACTTATAAAGGGTTTAAGGGGTTAGGTTTCTTTTTTGGAGACCTGGAATGTCAATGTGCCTGTCTTTAATACACTTTGGGTCAGCTTGTACATGTACATTTAACACAAAAAGGTTCAGACATTTTTCACAGTGTATGTTTGAGGTCTAAATACTGAAGTTGGAGGATAGAATTAGAAATATCAATACTATTGCGCTAGTATTGCGATACCTATACCAGCATTGGGATCGACCCCCCCCCCCCCCCAAATAGAGGCAATAGTGTCCCTCCTCACAGCAGTTCAAAGTTTTTATAACTCATTCACCTGATAATTGAATCAGGGGCGTGGCTGCTTGATTGACAGGTGTTCTGACATAGGATGCTGCAGGTCCTCATCCACTATTTGGAGTGAAATTGAGGTTTTGAAGCCATGTGACTGTTAACCAAGTGACATTAACTTGTCTGCCATTTTGGACATATGATAATATAGAGTCAAATCAATAAGACAGCAATCATACAAGTTTAGAGGACATCTGGCAACCATCTCCACATCCAGAACCCTTAGAGTTAGAATTGTGGCCACCACCGTATTTCTGGAAGGTCGAAACTACTTTAAAGCATAACACAATCCAAAAAGGTGAATTAAAAAAAAACTCAAACAAACTGTAAACATGTTGTTTTGATTGCTGGGTTTGGTCTTTTCTAGCCTGCTTTTGCCTTTGGAAGCAACCTCAAGAGGCTATTAGAGGAACTGCATTTATTGATAATTAGGTGTTTGCTTTTATTTTATTTGTTTTACAAAATCTCCATGTAAATTTCATAATATGTGTTAAAAAGGCTTCATGAAATAAGTTTTTCCTTACAAAACTATATCTAAATTATAAATTTCTGTGACAAGAGCTTTTTGGTTTTATGTTCAGGAAATGAGAGCTTGTTTGAAACAGATTGCAGTCTTGATTATTAGTAGTAGCCTATACTATAAGCTATATGTTAAAGAAAGCAGCATCATTCATCCTAAATTTTCAAATAAAATTTATTACAGCTCCACTTTGTGATTTAACAACTAATTTTTCTCTCATTTAAAAACAATCGAAATGAGTCTAAATGGCAATTAGTTTTTAAAACTTCAAATGTCACTTCAAGGTCTTACTTGAAGTGTCGTTATTTGTATTTTCTTTCCCATATCTGCACCCTTTACAGTAGAGCTTTCTTGTTTAACCTTCCTCTGGCATAAACATTATGAGTTTATCAGTGGGAGTGACCCATTTCACTTTACACATCATAATTTAATCCACTAGTTCAGACAAATATTTGTAAAACCAACTTTGAGGATCTATCACCAGCATATCACTGAAAATGTTGATACTTGAATAAATTAGTTAAAAGTTAAACACCAAATTTTAAATGAAGGAATTCAAACTTTTATTTCTAAATGGAATAAATCAATCAAATGAAGCTGTTTTGAAAAAAAAAAAAAAATTTCTGATGCTTTTTTTAAAGTGTGGTACAACTGTGCTTTGAAATGACAATGCCTTTTAGTTGCTAATAAAATGATTCCCATGCCAAAAGGAACATACTTACCACCTGTCACTTTAATTGCTGCTGTGGTTACGCTCATCATGGCCACGAGTGCCATGCTCATTTTGAGCTTTTAATTGATTTCAATGACCGAACTATTCTTTTTTCCAGAGTGGAATGATCATACAGCATACATCTTCAACAACTTGTAAAAACAAGTCCTAATTTATTTTTGATTTTCTCTCATCTGCACAGGGTCAAAGTGATACATGTAGCCACAAATATACACATAGACCCACATTTTTATTTGGCTAAATGTCTCTTAGCAAGTTGCACCTCGAGAAGGTGCTTTTATTCTTCTGGCATAATCTTGGCTGGATAGTTCTTGGCAGAATTGGTAGAGATCATTTAAATTGGTTGATTTTCTGGCACCAACTCGGCTTTTAAGCATAGTCTACATATTTTCAGTAAGGTTGAGTTCAGGGCTTTGATTGGGATCATTGTCCTGTTGGAATATTTGACTGTGTACAATTTTCAACCCTTTAGCTGTTGATGTGAAGTCAAGTTGAAGAATTTGGAGGTAGTCCTTCTCTTTCATTACTCCATCAATCTTGTGCAATGCATCAATGCCATTAGCATCAAAACAGACAATGATGCTTCCACAAGCGTGCTTGAGAGGTGGCATTGTGTTCTTTGGGATGAAAGCCTCACCTTTCTGCTCCTTTAAACATGCCCCTTATAAATAAGCAAATACCTCAATCTTTGTCTCATCTGATCATATTACTTTTCTCCAGAAGGCATCTGGCTTGTCACTGTGGGCAGGTGAAAATTCCAGTCGAGCTTAAAAGTTATCATTTTAGACCAGGGCTTTTGGTACATTCTCAGTCCATTGTAGAAGTTGCTTCACTGTGGACAGTGGCTCTGGTGTTCCACCAGTTTCCAGTTAACAGCAATTTTCTCTCACCTGAGGGTGACTATTTTGGTCTCTTGTAGACCTTGGAAAAGTAGTGATACGTCCAATTGTTAAGTTTGTTTGAACTGATTATCTTTGAATACAGCTGTTTAGAAACGGCTCCAAGAGGCCTTTCCAGTTTGTGTAAATCTCCAGTTCTAATTTAAGGCTTCACTGAGTTTCTTGCACTTTCCAATTGCAGTATTGGTCACTCCACCATGGCAGCAAAGAGAAGCTAGCAGCTGTAGTCATTCACAATCACTCTTGAGAAATTAAGAGACCTTGGCCTCGCCACCACACTGTAGAACCTTCAGCACCATTTATTGAAACATTTAACGGAGCGTGTGCATATATTTGAGCCCTTGCATAAAATTTTGACCCTGTGTGGATTAGAGAAAATTCAAAATAAAATTAAACGTGTCAGAAAAGGGATAAGAACAGTTCAAAGAAATTGTGAAAATTCAAAAGTTACTATGACATGCAAGCTCACAATGAGTGTATGTAAACTGACCACAGCTGTAAATCTTTACATTGTTTATTTTAATAACGGCATAATTTAATCTTTAAAATCCTGGGCAGTATATACATAATTAATCATTCGGTCAAATAATAACTCGCACTTTCAGGAGTTTTAAATTAAATATATCATACATAGAACAATTAGAACTATTTACAGTAAGCTTATATATGATTACAGTAAAAGCAAAGCAAACAGTTACAATCATCTGTGTCTGAAACATGATTAAAACAATGTTGCCACCAGGATCCACATATTGGGTTTCAGTGCCTCACATGAGTTCTTCAAGTCAAGTCCTGCTTGCAAGAGTGTGAAGTTCTGGTAACAGTTTTAGTGGGTTCTTCGGTCCACTCAAATTATTTTTATCCAGTTGGGTCGACTCGATCCAGTCAGACGAAAAACATGGACTCAAAGGACCTTTGGACGTGCTGCTGTAATACAATAAAGCTTGTTTGACATGCCCACGTAGGAAACCATGACAACTGAAATGCAGCAGCAATTAGATTATTACAAGAGTGAACTGGTCTGCTCAACTTTGAAAACGGCTCAGACCCTGCCTTCAACAAAACCACGCTGTGTGAGACTTTGCTTTGCATTTTCAATTTTTTATGCTTTTCTGCATCTGCTTCCTCTGGTAGGAAAATCAACTGAAAAAGACAAATCTAATCACAGTGAGTTTTCCAGACCAGGATTACCAGGATAGCATTTGCTCAAAAATGATCTTATGTGAGCAAACTATCTGTCGTGCATGTGCCAATCAGTTAGTAAGCAGGTGCTGGCAGACACTCTGATATTGACTGCTAAAGCCCTATTCACTCAGACATGATGAACAGTCAAAGCTCTGTGAGATGACTGGTTGATAGGAGACTGGAGTGAAAACAATCGCAAACTACTCGCCAACAGCAGCAAAACTGTAAAGGTGTGACAGAAACCGGAGATGGAGAACATTCGGCTTCAAAGTGAAAGGTGACCCTTTTAAAATGTGTTTGTTCCAGTAAGGCAAAACTTGTACTATGAAGGCAAATGTTCTCTTTTTCCAGTTTGCACTGTTCTTTTTCAACTTTTACTACAGCTCAGAGACTAAAATGATAAATGTCTCCAAACAAGTTGGCATCTTCCTCGCACACTACTAGTGCCCGCAGCAATCTGCCCGCAACAGAAGCAATCACAAGTTTTTTTTGCAATGCTCTCTTTGCAACTTTACTTAACAAGAGCCAGAAACCTCCAGCAACTCTTCACAAACAGTCGGGGAACGCACATTCTCTTGGGGCCAGAGGTGGCTTACTGTGGCTGTGGCCCGGTGTGACTCAGAACTCAAACTTCCCTTCAGAATCTCGGACAAACCCACAATTCATCATATCATATTGGTGACAGATGGATGTCAAGGTCCTTCAGCATTATCTTGTACTTTTGAACAAGCTTAAGCACAACTTAAGCATTTTCCCACATCATATTCATCAGTCTGAACGGCAGATTTGATGCCTTATGTTCTTACAGAAAGGTCCTTCAGCATTACATTGTCATTAATCTGCCAAACAGTCCTTAAGATATCAAAATTCACGAGCCATCACCGTTATTGTGAGGCAAAGATTGTAAAGCAAAACCGCTGTAACCCTGTTCACTTATTTTAACCACCAATCACTACTAGCTGAGTCGTGGTTATCACTGTGCATATATTGGTCCTTCTCAGAAAGACTGTAAATAGGTCCTTTGATTTTAGAGCCACTGTGTACTGTGCTGAGTCTCATTGAGTGATAAGATCCAGTCCTTCACTGATAGCACAAAAAAAGAAAAATCCAACAACAGGAATAGTAGAAATCCCATAAGCAACAAGAGAAGCT